GCTCCCCACTGACTCACAGAGCATCCTTTCCCTTTCTTCCAGTGGTGCTGTTTGGCTTGGCTGAAACACAGGAAGTATCTCACTGGGCAGGCCAGTAAGCAAAGTGAAGCTGTCTAGCTAGAGAGGCACTGGGCCCCAAGGCATTCTCACAGCTGTGCTGTTTTCACAGCCATGCTGTATCACAATCGAACTGCTTTGCACTGAATGGTTTTCTTCTTCACTGCACCCCATTTGGGGATTCCTGTTGCTGTTGAATTGATGCCAACAACCATTGGTTGATATGGCCCAGGCCATCTTGGGGTATGCACCAATTAGGAGAACTGACGTGGTACCAGTTCTCAGGAACTTAAAATTGGGAAAGCAGATCATAACCAAACTATTAATTGCAGGTATGGTATTTTTTGGTTAATAACAACTTTATTGAGATATAATCCACATACCATACAATTCATCCATTTCAGGTGTGCAATTCAATGGTTTTTAGTGCCTTTGCAGAGCTGTGCAATCATCACCACTAACTCCAGAGCATTTTTATCACCCCAAGAGCCTTTAGCAGTCACTCCCTATTTTCCTCCTATAGCCCCTGGCAATCACTAGTTTGCTTTCTGTCTCTATGGATTTGCCTGTTCTAGGCATTTCAATATAAATGGAATACCTTGCAGTTACAAGAAAGAAACTTTTGATAGGTACAACCACTTGGTTGAAGTTCTAGACAATTATGTTGAATGAAAAAAGCCAATGCCAAAAGTCTATATACTCTATCATTCTGTTTGCATAAAATTCTTGAAAGGTCAAAATTATTTTAAAAATTAAGAATGTATTTGTGATTTCTAGGGGTTGGGAACAGGAAGAAAGGAAGTGGAAGTGGCTATAAAATGGCAACATGAGGGATCCTCGGGTGAGGGAAATGTTTTGAATCTTGACTAACAAAAGCAATAGTGATAATGTACTATTGTATAGTTTTGTAAGGTGATACCACTGGATAACATGAGGGGGGAAGGATACACAGGATCTCTCTGTGTTCTTTATTTCAACCACATGTTATACTAAAATTAGTCCAAATTTTTAAATTTTAATTTCTAAAAGAACCCCAAAAAGTACATTTACTGACTGTGGTGGAGTGGTGTTCTTCTGCCCCTTAATTTAAGCAGTCAGTGGGCTAGTTCATTTTTGGATAGAAACCATGGCAAACCCAGGGTACCAAGGAAAGCCGTATGGGTGATTTAGTGGATGGCATTATTCCATTTGTGTCTTTATGACCATGTGTGGCCTCAAGGAATAATCTACTGAGTCTGCCAAACACAGCTCACCTGCCATGAACTGGCTAAAGTCCAATGTGGTAATTACCCATGGCCTCTCTCCAGTTCTCTTCAGCTCTAACTACATAATGAAGGCTGCATGCTTTATACAAAAGTAGGGCTGTTTTAATTGTTTTTCCTGGATTACATTGTGCGAAACACCTGCACAATCTTACCTAGTCCTCACACTAGCCCTCAGAATTAGATACAGTTGGTTCTCACTACTGACAGCAGTTCTGTTCTATAAAGTCAGTGCAAACACTGAATAGCAAACACAAAATAACTGCTCCTAAGGGAAACACACGGTTGGGTTCCTGTAGGCCTCTGGTCACAACATTTTTATCAACTGGTCAATACATCACCTTGTTTTATGTGTATGTTTTGTTTAAAGAGACCTTATTTAATATACATTGTGATGCCTTAACACTGAATTCACAGCCCACAGTACTATAACCTACGCCAGAACTAAGCTTATCTAACATTCATATCTTCTTTGTAAGGCACATCCCAGCCTACCTGTGCTTAGAAACGCTAGCAGCACTTCAGCACCATGCATTAGGGCCAATATAAATGGCAAAATCACCAACAACAAGCCCAGAAATGCAAAAGCATAGCACTAAATAAACCCAGAAAAAGAAAGGTGTTTACAGTCCAGACTGTGCATTGTAAGATGTTGAAGAGCATCTCTGGTCTCTATTCATTCAATGCCAGTATCACTCAAATCCCCCAAATTGTGATAACGAAAAACGTCCTTGGACATCACCAAATGTCCTGAGGGTGGGGGGTGGGAGAAAGATCGCTTTCCAGTAATAAATACTGGTCTAGGAATTTTAGATTCAATAACAGCAAATTGCAGTGCCTCTAATTTCAAGAGGCTTAAATTATGGAAAACTGGGAAATGGAATGAGGAGTTAATATTTAACAGGGACAGAGCTGCAGTTTGAGAAGGTGAAAAAGTTCAAGAGATGGATGGTGGTGATGGTTGCACATTGTGAATGTAATTAATACCACTTAACATTACACTTAACATTTTCAGAATGGTAAATTTTGTATTATTCATATTTTAACTGCAACTTAAAGTACACCAGGCAAGCCCCAAGCTTCTTGCGTTGGGCTCCTGTGCCGTGGTGGCAGCACCACGGACAGCTCCTAGTGCCCTCTCTTGGGGGAGGGGCCGGACGTTTCAAACAACCTTCTGTCCGGAATGCCTTTCTCCCCCTTCTCCATCCATCCAACTCGTACTCAATCCTCAGGGTCTAACACACATCATCACCACCCCAGGAAATCTTCCCATGCATCCCCCCCAGCCACTCTGCTTCCAAGATGTCTCTAAACCAGCCCGGACTCCTTTGCTCACCTGTATCTCATAACGGGAGTCCTATGAAAGCAAAGTTTTATTCGCGTTTTGAACCCCAGTGCCCGGCACCGAACTGGTCTGGATTTCCTATTCAGTTAACACAAGGGTCTCTTCCCAGAGCTCCACTTCCACTAACCAGGAAGTGCAAAGTCCAGATCTTGTGCTGGAGGCTCTGGGGCCTCCTCCCTCTCTGCTGTAGGGCTGTGCCTTTATGCCTTTGGCTTGAAGGGGGGCATACCTGATGCTGTGAGGGAGGCAGCCACGCAATCAGAGTCCTGTGTGGTATTCACAATGGGAACCAGCGTTCACACATTCTGCCTGCATTTCCCAAACATCTCCTTTGTGCCAGGTGTGGCTGCCCTCTGCAGAGAGCATTGCCAACTAAGTCTCATTTCCCTTGAAATTTATAGTCTAATGGAGAAGGGGAGATCAGAAAATAAACAAAAAAACAAGTAAACCATTTCAAATAGTGGGGACTGCTGTAAAAAGAAAATCATTAGGTTTCTCAATCAGTCCATATACCCATGTTGATAGCAGCACTATTCACAATACCCCCAAAAAGTAGAAACAGCTCAAGTGTCCAACCACTGGGGAGTGGATAAACACAACGTGGTCCATCCACACACTGGAATATTACTCAGCCACGAAAAGGAGTGAAACTCTGAAATATGCTATATGTGGATGAAACTTGAAAACATGATGCTTAGTGAGAGAAGCCAGGCACAAAAGGCCATATAGTGTGTGAGCCCATTTATATGAAATGTCCAGAACAGACAAGTCCACAGAGACAGAGAGTGAATATGTGGGTGCCAGGGGCTGAGGAGGGGGGTTGAGGGAGGGCTTAATGGGGATGGGATTTCCATTTAGGGTGATAAAAAAGTTCTGAAACTACATAAATGGAATGGTTGCACCACATTGTGAATATATTTAATGCCACTGAACTGTATCCTTGCAAATGGTTAAAGTGGCAAATTTTACATTACATGTATTGTACCACAATTTTAAAATATGTACTTAAAAAAATCAGACCGAGCAACGGGATGGAGGCTGGAGAAGTGGGAGCAAGGCAGGGGGCAATAAGGGAAGGCCTCTCTGAGGAGATTTCTTTCGAGCTGACACCTGAATAATGTGAACATTTGGGGGAAAAGAATTCCTGGCAGAGGGCACAGCACATGCAACGGGACTGCGGTGGGAATAAACTTGATGTATCCACAGAAGGGGCAAAAAACCACCACAGCAATTAAGGGGTTAGAGAGAAAAATAAGCTTCAGTTCCTTTTTGAGGTCATGTATTTGTATGCTGGGGCTTTCATAACAAAGTACTACTACAAACCAAGTGGCTCCAAACCATAGAAATTTACTCTCTCACGGTTTTGGAGAATAGAAGGCCAAAATCAAGGAGTTGGCAGGTCTGGCTGCTTCTGGAGGCTGTGAGGGAGGACCCATTTCAGGCCTCTCTCCCAGCTCCTGGCTGGCAATTCTTGATGTTCCTTGGCTTGTAGATGCATCACCCCAATCTCGGCCTCCACTGGCACATGGCACGCTCCTCTCACAGGTCTTTCCCCCTTCTCCTCCCTTAGGGACACTTATCATTGGAGTTAGGGCTCATCCTAAATCCAGGATGATCTCACCTGGAGATCCTTAACTTAATTCCATCTCAGAGATTCTTTTTTTCAAATAGGGTCACAATCAGGGGTGGGGACATGGCCATATCTTTTGGGGGGCGGGGCACTAGTCAACCTGCTACAGGTCTAAAAATAAAAGCAGTAAGCAAGAAATATGTACAGAGCCTTTCTCATGCTCCTGCTCCAAGTTAAGTGCTCTCAGTGCATTATATCATTAAATGCTGAAACACAAATACCGTGCCTCCATTTCACAGATGAGGAAACTGAGGCTGATCCCAGGCTCAAACCCACTTCCGGTCCGATTTGAGAGGCTTCATTGCTAACTGTATACCATTCTACCATCCTCCTGGAGTCCTCTTGGGCAGGTCGCCGCAAAGAGTGCCTTCCCCTCGGTGGCTCTGAGCAAGCGTGCCTGAGGAGATTCTCCCGAGCATCCATCCTGGCCCTTGGCACAGGGCCTCATCATAGGGAGTGGCCCGCGGAGGGAACGGTGACATAGGGTCCTGAGGGTATCATTTCCTCCCTTCTTCCCTCTTCATCGAAGAAATGAGGCCACCGCTGCCATTTATTTGTTCCTTGTTTTGTTTTTTAAATCTGTGATGCGCCATCAGAAAATCATTTCCGCTTCTGCCACGGGTAAGACGCTTGGAAATGCTCCCTCGCAGCCAATGGAGAGCCCCGGATTCTGGCAGGGGGCTGTGCTTTTTGGTCAGCCCTGCCCCCACCGACCCACCCCGCACACAAAAGCAGCGTAATTAACCGTCTTAAGGAAGCCGAGCCCCTGACAGCTGCAAGCTGGAAAGAAGAAAATACCTTAGAGACACAAGCTGCGACGTGACAGGGGACGCAGCTGCCGCGGAGCGAGGGGACGCCGACAGCTAGCTGCAAACCGCTCCCCACCCTTAGACAAAAGCGCCCCTCTGCGCCGGCCACGTTGCTCTGGGTGACCTTGCTTGGATGCAGAGTCCACCCTTGCGCGCATCTTCCTCTGTTACTCTGAAGGCCCAGGAACCCGCTGGGAAGACCAGGGATGCCGGGCTGCTGCCGCGCAGGGCTCGCCTTTGTCTGCGCGTAATCAGGAGAGGCCGCGGCGGTAACCAGCACTCACCGCGGAGGTTAGTGCACCTTCCCTTTTCCCTCATCCTGCCCAGGAGGAGTGCCCAGGCATCTGCTGCCTCAAACGCCCTTCTGGCTGATGAGGCTGGTGGCAGCAGAGAACCCCAGTCCCGTGGCTCTTTGGGTGGGGAACCCCTCCATTTTCCGCCTGCTGGCTTTCACACCTGCAGTTCCCCTTCCATGCCCACCGCTCACCTGGAAGCAGAGAATCGCACAATTTTCAGGATGTGTTTGAAGATTAGGCAGACAAAACCCTCAGCCCTTCTCTGGGACGCTTCCTAAGAGACCAAAATGTCCACGTCCCACCTCCGTGCCTTTCCTATTTATAACAGCGGGAGCGATCTGGGAAGAGGATTTGAGAGATGTGTACATAAAGGCTTGCCTTTGGGTTGGGAGGAAGGGAGGTGGTTGAAGACAGATTTCTCCTTCTCTGTCTGGACTTGAATGTGATGTGCTCGTAATTCAGCACCTCAGTGCAAAGGAACAGTTCTCAGCTGTCCCATCCTTTGCCTTATCTGCCATTCTTAAATGTGGAGGCAGGATGGGAGAATGGGAGTGGACAGGGCCCGTGGGGAGCCTGCCCACATCCACATTGAGAGGACCTTGGGGTGACATGTGTGGCTCCAGGGTTCGGGCCGTAGATGTGTGTGTGGGGGGGGCTCCTTCCTTGGGGCTGGGCATCATACCCAGGATAAAGGAAACTGACACAAAAGACCACTCCCTTTAGCTGGGAGATGAATCTCCATTGGCGTGAACTTTCAGTTGCAGTTGGGTTCTGGGTGGTGGTGGTTGCCTGTACTGTCAGAAGATTTTTTTTTTTTTTTTTTTTTTTGGCGTATTGCGTCTCCCCATCCCTCCTCCATGAATGAATGACGACATGGAGGACAGTGAAAAGAAGCCAGTGAGAAACTCTCACAGCAGTAGGGAAGGGGTTCTAACTGCAGCCAACCCCTCGCTCCCTGTTCGGCCCCCTCACCTGTCTCAGCTCCTTCTGGGTCCTCCCTCTCTGAGCTAAGGTCCCAAATGCAGACCTATCCTCTCCAGGGACTGTGGTCCAGCGTGGGCAGGGCTTTGGCTGTCACACCCAAACTGTTAGCCATGCACCAGCTCTCCAGAGGGACAGCTGGGCAGCAGGGAAGATGAGGGGCTGGCTGGAGGTGGGGGGCCTTAGATGCTGGTAAGTGAGGATAACAACACAGGATCTGTTTGGAGGATGGGAGGAGGGGACACAATGACACAGTAGGCCTTCTATAAGGACGGCCAAACCCACACCTGACGTCCTTTCACAAACCCGTGGGTTAAAACAGGGTTTCTCGATCTCGGATCCACAGACATTTGGGGCCAGGTCATAATACCCTGGGCACCGCAGGGCACTGAGGATTATCCCTGGCCTCCACCCTTTTAACCCCAGGAGCATCCCCCTGCAGCTGTGACAACCAAAAATGCCTCCAAACCTTGACTCCACGTGTCTCCTGGGAGGCAACCCATGGAGAACCACTGGCTTAAAACCGCAGAACCTGTGAGACCAGTTGAGTCATAAGATCCTGGAAGTTTATACCCAAAAGTATCAAAGAGATTCCTAGCACAACTCTTTCATTTACAGATGGGGAAACTGAGGCCTGGAGAGGTGAATGTCCTGAGAATCTGCCATGCCCCAGGGTGTACCCAAATTTAATCTCACTCAGCAGCCAACTCTGCTCTGAGACAGCCCAGCACTTAAGCCATCATCTAGAGTGCTGTGTCCACCTGCCCCTGCCGCCAGCCAGCTCCTGGAACAGTAAAAACAAAACTTGCATTTTGTGGGTGGTAGTAATTATGATCTGGACGTCCCACCCCAGACACTTTCCACACTGCCTTCATTAGCCCTCAGGTCAGCAAGCTGTCAGGGGCTGCTTCTTCGGGGTTGGGGGATGGTGAGACAAAGGGGCAGGGCAGGTGGCCTGGAGCGGCTAGAGGTGGGGTGGGATTGACCAGGTTAATTCCAGCAAGGAAGCTTAAGTATATCCATCATACACTTTAGTATAAATGAGTTTAATAGCTTTATGGCTTCCCAGTTGAAGCCCAAGATAATGGAGGGATGATGAGCCCTGGGGAGGGTATATTTCAGAACTTTAGAGGGAGGAGGGCTTGTAGCTGGAGGCTCAGCTTCTAACGTGGGCTCACACTCCCCACCCACATGGGTGTTCTTAGCTCTCTCTGCCTGTTTTCTCAGGTGTGAAATGGGAAGCTTCATAGAGCTGGGCAATGATGCAATAAAACAGTGGCTGCAAAAGCTCCTTGCAGGTGGACCTGAAATACTGCACATGAGCGTGGGGTTGTTATTATGATGATGATTCAGTAAAACCTCCATCCGTTGCTCTTCTTCAGAAATCATCCTTGCTTCAAGGCTGGTACCTCTTCCCGGATCCCATGGGAACAACAGAAGCCACACTCCGGATGGAAAACGTGGATGTGAAGGATGAATGGCAGGATGAAGATCTTCCCAGGTACAGTTCCCCAGGTCTCTGTGTCAGCCACAGTGGGAGTGGGCGTGGCTCTTCTCCAAGGTGGGGCGCAGGAGACACTGCCAGTTGAAGAGACCAGCCGCATTATATAAGATTGATTTCCACCTCACTCCCTGCCCTCCCCCAAAACTCCCATTTCCACAGTGTTTTAAGAATTTTAAACATTCTTGTAAACCTATCTCATGGATTATTATAATAGTCTTACGTGGGTTCTCACAAATCCAAGTGATAGCATATTTTTACCTGCAGCAGACAGAGGGACTGCATCATGCCCCTGCTTCAACGCCTGGGGCAAATGCCTGTCCCACAGAGAATCTGGGGTTCAACCTCTGCCTGCTTCTTCGAGCTCACTCTCATCACTCTGTCTGCTTCATGCCCTTCCAGTTCCCGTGACTTCCCTCTAGCTTCTTGCCCTTGCCCAGCTGCCTCTGATGTTCAGACTTTTCACTGCCTGTTCTCTCTCTCTCTGGAATGCTTTTCCCCAAACACCCATGCCTCCCTCACCTCCTTCAGGTCTCTGCCCACAGGCCACCTGCTCAGAGAAGACCTTCCGGCCCCTTTGTTACCCCCTCCCCAGTTCCTGAATAATGGCACCCAAAGATATCCACATCTTAACCACTGGAACCTGAGAATGTTCTCCTAATGGTGAAAGCCACTTTGCACATAGGATTAAGTTAAGGATCTTTTTTTTTCTAAATCCTCACTCAAACATATATTTTTATTGATTTGAGAGAGAGAGGAATGGGGGTAGAGAGAGAAAAAGAGAGATTGATCAGTTGCCTCACGTATGCACCCCAACCAGGAATTGAACCCGCAACTGAGATATGTGCCCTGACCAGAAATCAAACCCACAAACTTTTAGTGCATGGAATGATGCTCCAACCAACTGAGCCACCCAGGTAGGCCTAGGTTAAGGATCTTAAAATGAAGAGATGATCCTGAATTATTCAAGTAGGTCCTCAGTGTCATCACAGGGGTCCTTATAAGAGGGAGACCGAAGACTTAACTACAGAAGTAGCAGCTATGATGATGGAAGTAACAGATTGGAATCACAGGAGAAAGGGGTCACGAGCCAGGGAATGCAAACACCTCTGGAAACTGGAAAAAGCAAGAAACAAATTCTCCCCTGGAGCCTCCAAGAGAAACCATCCCTGCTCACACCTTGCCTTTAGCTTTGTGAAACTGATTTTAGACTTGCTTCTGGCCTCTGGAATCATGAGAGAATATAAATTTGTGTTGGTTTAAGCCACTGAGTTAGTGGTAATTTGTTACAGCAGCTATAGGAGACTCATACTATCTACTTTGCTAAATATTTTTATATTTATCTTGTTTAACATCTATTTTCCCCCAAAGGGAACCCCTTGAGAGCAAGGGCCTTTGGTTTGACCACTGCTGTGTACCAGCGTGAGGACAGGGCCTGGCATACAGTTAGTGCTCAATAGACAGGGCGAATGAATGACAGTCACTGGAAAGAATAAAAACTTAAGTAGGAAGAAAGCCCTGAGCATCCACTGCTGACAGGAGTGAGCCACCAGGCCTCCCTCCCTCCCTCTTTCTCCCCCTCTCTCCTCCTCTTCCTCCTCTTCCTCCTCCAGCAAGTCGTTGCTCACTTTCTTAAGAGAAAATACCTTCAGCACAGGCTCTCCTAGTTCATTGGTTGCATAAAACCATTCATTCCCTCCCCCTTTAATGCAAGGACCTTACCCCCAGGAGATGATGACCAAGAGTAACTTACATAGCCACCTGGGAAGAAACAGTCAAAGAGACTGAACATGCGCACCCTGGAAAAGAGACCTTTTTTAAAAAAGATTTTATTTATTTTTAGAGAGAGGGGAAGGAAGGGAGAAAGAGAGGGAGAGAAACATCAATGTGCGGTTGCCTCTTGAGCCCCCCCAACTGAGGAGCCAGCCCGCAACCCAGGCATGTGCCTTGACTGGGAATTGAATCGGAGACCCTTTGGTCCGCAGGCCGGTGCTCAGTCCACCGAGCCACCCCAGCCAGGGCCTGGAAAAGAGACTTTGAAGAAGATTTTCAGCTCCAGAAACTTCAGTTGGTAAGGGCACTGAGGGCAGAAACTAGGTTGATAAACAATAGGCATGAAAGGGATTTAAGTTTGAGTCCAGCATAGAACATGTGGACTCAAATGGTTCAATATATGCTTCATACACACAGCACCATTCAAAAGCTAAATGGGCTTGTGGGAGAGGTCCCGAGCTTCCTATCCATCGTGCCCAAGTAGAAGCTGCCAGGCAGAGGGCGTCAACCCCATTTGATTTTGAATTTAGCCCTCTCCCAAAGCTAGTCATTTTCAGTCGACATTTTGCACCCTTATGTGTGGTTCTTTATAGCACAAGGTTCCTGTTCTAAGAAGAGCTGAGAATCTCTTTTCTGCCCACTACCGGCATCTGCAGGAGTTGGTTTCCAGGAATACAAGTATTTTGGGAAAGAGATGGCCACTGCATTGGGGCCAACTTCCTGTCCTTTCACCTTTAGAATGGTCTATCCTCTCCACATCCCCCCCTATAAATCTGTCTTTTCAGCTCTCTAAGAGAGGGGGTGCTAATGCCTGGGGGAAGGGTCTCATCGCACCCAGACTTGGCAGTTTGGGCAAATTAAAGATCGTTTTCTAGCAAGGAAGTCCTGATGGTTAAAAATGCTCTAAAATGGGCAAGAACTGGCTTTGAGTGCAGTCACTTGCTCCTGGCATGCGTTGTGGGGAGGGGTCTAATTCCTCCCATGTAAAAGGGAAAATCTGATGGGGTGATTTTGGTAGGTTCCTTCCAGCACCAAGCGCCCGGGATTCCAAGGCATCTTCGGACGGTCTTAGCATCTCTGGCATCTGCTGAGACTAAAGCACTTTTGGGTCTGGACTTTGAGAATTTTCTGATTCAAACCCCAACAGGCTTGCTTGGCCACCTTGGGCAACTCTTTGAGCATCTTTTGTTCCTCAGTTTTTCTATCTGTAAAATAGGGGCAGTCATCCCTGGCTTGTGAAGTTGTGAGAACTCATTAAAGCATGTGGGATTGTCTAAATGATGAAGGCTGTCCAAAGTCATTGTCACTCTCAGCATTGTTCCTTGTATCTTGTTCACTGCAGTTCCTTTATCTGTGTGCCCTCCCCCAAGTATTCTAAAATATAGCCCCTCTCTCAAGCATTGTGGAGACAAAAATGGGGCTGACTGCAGCTGCAAATGTGAATTTCAAGTGAGTTCCCCCAGCTGCAGAGGATGCCTCTCCCTTTTTAGTAGCTCAGTGTTTGCAAGATAGTGGCCTTGCTGTGCAGCCACTGGGTTGTGAGTGTGCCTTTGCCAAGGCTTCCGTCTTCCTCATTCCGGAAGAAATGAGTGCAGCTCCTTGATGCTACGTCCAGCTGCATCTCAACATAAGCACCTCTGTCTGGTGCCAGACAACCCACAATTCTATTCCCTCCAGCTCAGGGAGCCCTTCCCGGGGGCATATTCAACCTTCTGGGTGGCTGTCGGAGCACTTGCCCTGTGTCCTCAGCCCCCTCCTGCCACCACCATCTTGTAGTCTTTTCCATCACTTCCTGCCCTTCTGCAGGTTCCTATGGGGCCTGAGCTGAGGGCAGCCTGGGGATCATCTATTTCACTGCCTGTTTTCTCCATTAATTCATTCTAATGATCTGCACTGACGTATGCCAGGCCCCCTGATGTTGGGGACAAGTGGAGAACCAGACAGCTGCCCTCATGGGACACTCACAGTCTGGGGCAGAGACGGGCATCCCCTTCACTCTTACAACCCAGTGTGACACTGCAGGTGGGCTCTTGGCACTGGCAGAGTTCCTGGGTGGGTTCTGACCAGGTAGAGGCTGGGCATTCCAAGCTGAGAGAGCAATGCCTATAAAGGCCCTGAGGCCAGCAAAAGCAGAGTGAGGGACTGAAGGAAGATTGAGTGGGAAAACAGAACCAGGGTAGAAAAGGGCTTGACCAGTGTCTCATAGCAACGGAGAGGCAGGTGCAAGATTAGATGTCTGACTGGTGCATCAGCCAAGTGGCTATGGATTTTGTTTGTTTGTTTGTTTATAAGCTTTTTTCTCCTATAGCCCCAAACTTAACAGAATATCTAAAAGCAGGAAGCAGTGCTCTCTGCAGAGAGAACAGAACGTGCAAAGGCACTGGGGCAAAGGAGACTTTGGCATGGTAGGGAATACAACATGAGAGCCCAACTACATCATTGGTATGAGGTTGGAGAGTTCACAGATGCCACATCCTGAGGGATGCCCAGGTGACAGATTTCAATTTCATGCTGAGAGGATGCATGAGTTTCCTAGAGCTGCCATAGCAAAGCACCACAAATAGGGTGGCTTACGGCAACAGGAATGTATTCTTTTACACTTCCGGAGGCTAGAAGTCAAAATCAAGGTGCCTGTGGAACCATATTCCCTCCAAAGGGTCTAAGGGGAGGATCCTTCCTGCCTCCCAGCTTCTGGTACCTGCTGGCAATCCTTGGCATCCCTTGGCTTGGGGACACATCACTTTAGCCTCTGCCTCCATCTTCATATGTCCTTCTCTCTTCACTGTCTGCGTCCACATTTTCTTCTCCTTATAAGTACACTACTCATTGGATTCAGGGCCCCCATAATTCAGTATGAGCTCAACTTAATTACATCTGCAAAGACCCTATTTCCATATAGGTTGCATTTCCAGACACTGGGGGTTAGTCACTGAATTATCTTCCTGAGATGACATAGTTCAACCCATTACAGAAAGATAAAGCCACATTGTATGCCTTGCATATGAAGGGGCACCCCATCTTTTCCATGGATGTCCATCGCTGAGAGCAAGCTCTACAGAGAGCCGTTGGGACCCACCTCAGGTTCGTGTCCAGGCTCTGCATAATTTGAGGTTGTCCTGGGACTCGGGAAAATAACAAGGTCTCACCTGGTCTTGAAATGCACAGCCCTGTGGACCAGCAGGGTGGGTACTTGCTCTCTCTCTTTGTCAGGAAGCTGTGGGCTTTCC